TATCCATTTGTTAGATAAAGCTCTCTTACCTTTCGGCAATTTCACTAACTCATATGTGCCATTCTCATGGAGTGACTTCATCTCATCTTCCATGGCTTCGATCCAATGATCTTTGTGATTATCTTGCATGGCTTCATCATAATTCTCAAGTTCTCCCATGTCAGTCAAAAGTACATACACATCAGGAGGATAGCGCATGGATTTTTGCTTCTCCCTTGTAGATCTTCTAAGAGAGGTTTCAGGAGCATTCGAAGTAGTTACCTGTGCAGGATTTGGTTGCTGATCAACCACAACTTCATCAACTGGAGCATCCATAACATCTATACCATGATGATCATTTTGATCTTGATCACTATCTCCATCATTGTCTTGAGTTTCTTCATGTGCAACAGGTGCCTTAGCAATTGAAACTGGATCAATATCAACTAAGCTCTCATTACTCTGAGAATCTATCTTCTCAGCTTTGTCAATATCTTCAATAGTTTGGTCTTCAAAGAATATTGCATCATGACTTCTAATAAGTTTATTGTCAACTGGATCATAAAAATGATACCCAAACTCATCTTGACCGTAACCGATAAAGATGCACTGCTTAGTTTTGACATCCAGTTCGATCTCTCATCTTTAGGAACATGCACACAAGCTTTGCATCCAAAAACTCTCGGGTGATCATAAGAAACATCTTTGGTAACCAAACTCTATCTGGGACATCACCATCCAAAGCAACATCAGGAGACAAATTGATAACATAGGCAACAGTGTTAAGTGTTTCCACTCAAAATGTATTTGGAAGTTTAGCCTCTGAAAGTAAGCATCTAACTCTCTCAACTAGAGTTCTATTCATCCTTTCTGCCAAACCATTCAATTGAGGCGTCTTAGGCGGAGTTTTCTGATGACGAATTCCTTGTTCCTTGCAATAGTTATCAAAGGGACCACAATATTCACCACCATTGTCAGTGCGAGTACATTTTAATTTCTTCCCCGTCTGTCTCTCAGCTAAGGCCTGAAATTCCTTAAACACGCCAAGTGCTTGATCTTTAGATTTAAAAGGATACACCCAGAGCTTACATGAATGATCATCAATGAAGGTCACAAAGTAAAGTGCGCCACCTTTTGAATTTACTTTAAAAGGACCACACAAATCAGAGTGTACTAGCTCCAATAAATCGGGCTTTCTTGAGGGAGGATGACTATGAAAGAAAATCCTTTTCTGTAAGCCAGCTAAACAATGGATACACTTTTTCAGCTTTGCTTGTTTCAATCCAGAAAGCAAACTTTTCTTAGCCAAACACGTAATCCCCCTATCGCTTATATGACTCAATCTTCTGTGCTACAATTCTGATAAAGTATCACCTTCCACCATATTTATGGAGTCATTAAGAATAGAGCCTTGTGTCACATATAAATAAATAACCAGATTTGACTCCGCGAGCCACTACTAACGAGCCCTTAGTGAGCTTCCATTGGCCATTAAAGAGGAAATTATGGTAACCTTCATCGTCTAATCTTCCTGCGGAGATCAAATTGAAAAGGAAGTCTGGAACATGCTTGACATCTTGAAGAACTAACGTTGAACCATTATTAGTTTTCAAACAAACTGTGCCAACACCAAACATCTTAACTTCACTGGCATTGCCCATCTTTAACACTCCAGAATCAACGGTAGTATAAGATGAGAAAAAATCTTTTCTTGGTGTGACATGTGAAGTAGCTCCAGAATCTACTATCCAGCTAGTCTTATGGGATACCAAATTGATGACGTTTTCATCATAAGCAAAAAGAAGGTCATCTCGAACAATAGCAACAACATTGTTCTCGTTATTTTCAGCTTTCTTTCCTTCTCTAGTGTCTTGATTCAACTTGGCAAAACCTTTTGATGTGTCCTTTTTTGCCACAGTGGTTGCATGTAATATTATAATATTTGGACCTTGACTTACTTCTACTTTTACCTCTATTCCTTGAGCCTCTTGTTCTATCTCTCCCCCGGTCTTCTGTAACCAAGATATCTGCTTGTAAGGACGAACCCTGAGATTTTCTCCTTACTTCCTCGTTCAACACACCACCCTTAGCATATTCCACGGTCACCTTACCTCCAGGAGCTGAATTTGATACCTTGAGAATTGTGACAACGAGTACAACATCGATACTATGAGGTTAAATTCATCCACGATCCTTATTAAACTTATTTTTTATTATTATTATTATTTTTTTTTTGCTGTGAACAAGCATTTTATTTATTGAGAGAAGTTACAACAAAGAAGGGATAGAACGTATAGTTCCAGTGCCCTGCGAGTCCAAAAGTAAGTACGGTAATACAAAAGGGGGGGGGTAGCAAAAAGGAGAACATCAGTATGTTGGTGAAGCTTCTTCCCAAAAAGTGCCAGTGCATCTGCAACAGTATTACCCTCCCTGTAGATGTGATTGAGCTGTGGCGTATGCAAGTCACGCAACATCAACCTGCAAGCATGAAAGAGGTGTGAGTATTTCAGGTTACCGTGTGGTAGGAGTGTGATAAGTACCTGGGAGTCTGATTCTACAATGAGCGGTAGTAATCTATTGTTAATAGCAATTTGTAACCCATGAAGAAGGGCAATAAAACAAATTTTTATCACAATAAAGTGAATGAATTTAACTGTTTGTACTTACGGAACTAATTTTTGTAATAATAAAACACAAATTATTGAAAAGTTAAATGCCATCTCCATATGATCATTTGCCACGTAAAATTTTCTTATCACAAAACATAAATAATTAAAAAATACATAAAAATTAAAAGAAACGAAAAGGAAAACGAGTCATATGTGCAAAGTAAAACTTTATTTTTTCAACTTCGCGGGAGAATCAAAACTGCTTGGGCCTTCTATTTGCCACGGTCCTGTTAAAGCCGCAACCGAAATCTGACGCCATTGGAAAACTTTAACGGAAAATCTTATTTTTTTTTTGGGTTCAACTAAACGGAAAATCTTTAAGATCAAACATGTAATGTTAAGTTCCTGTTTGACCATAAAATTTAGGAGATTTTTTTTTTCAAATTTTGTTTTCATATATTTGTTTGTTTATAAATTTTAATCTTTTTTTTGGGCAAATTTTGAAGACAACATTTTCAAATTCCAAAAACAGTTCTAGAGTAGTTTTTGAAGTTTTTCTATTTCTTTTCGAGTAAAATGCATGTCAAACCAATTTCAACTTTCAAAAATCATTTTTCATCTCGTCTTCAAAAAACTCAATTTGTCAAATTTCAACCAAATCCTCAACATATTGGAAAATCAATTGGAACGGGGTTGAAAATCGCTTCTACGCCTGTAATTATGCGATGAATGTCGAGAGCTATCAAAGGATGCTTCTCGTCAACATCGATAGCCAAGAATCGTTCACTAATCTGGAAACGCTTTTTCTTTTTCGTTTCTTTTTAATTTTTATGCTTTTTCAATTGTTTATGTTAAGAATATAGATTATAAAAAAGTGGATTTTCGTGATAAAAATTTTCTCTTGTGGCATGGACACTGTGGCAAAATGATGATGTGGCGATAATTATTCATTTTCCAGTGCCAAATATTTTATTGTCCAATGTTTTGTATTTTTTAGACAATTAACTCATAATGTAGTGACTTATACTATTAATAAAAAATAATTTTGTGACTTTAGTGTTACACATAGTTAGTTTAGTGACTTTACTGTTACAAAAAATAAATTTATAATTTAGTATTACAAAAGTAAATTTAATGATATTTGGTAAAATTAATCCCAAATAGAGAAAATATTCAGACTCGGTGCACATGATAAATCTTCTTATTGAAATTATTTACTTTCAAATTTTTGAATCAATATGAACTTAACTATTTTAAAAAAGAATTTACATATGCAAAAAGTATATGAAAAATACAATAAGAAAATATAATTATTAATTTAAAATATTAAAAATAAAAAAAGAAAGAAAGAAAAATACTTAGGTACTTCCGAAAGAAAGTCTAATGGGAAAAGGGTCAAATATGCCCCCTATAATATTGAAAAAGGTCTAATATTAACCTCCGTTATACTATCAGTCCAAATATAGCCCTAACGTCATACTATTGGTCCAGATATATCCCTGACATCATAAAAGTGGTACAAACCTACCCTTTCTCCGTTAACTGCCTCCCTATGACAACATTTCTTTGCCACCTCACCATTATACTCCCATTTTCATCCCTCCCTAACAACCTTTCTTTCCCGTTCATTTGAAGAAAAATCACATATCATAGATATACAAACAAACTATATCAAACGAAATGCTAACAACTAAAGATAATATGAAACAATGTGAACCGAGAAAATTCTGATTTTGCTATTCAAAATTCATGCTTATACGGACGAAAATACATTTGTTTTATATAACAAACTAAGCAAAGATACATGCAAACTAGTTTAAGGTTTCAAAATTGACCATGATAAGAAAGAAAAACAACCTAGACTCGAGAGTTAATTTTTTTTTGTTTCTTTCTCTTCAATGACATTTCTGAAAGGCTACCATTTTTTCTCTCTTTACGTGTTATGTTATAATAAAAGTGCTACTAAATTTTCCCTAAATATGTCTTACAAATTCAACAACAACACAAGGAAAAGCAAAATAAAACACAAAATTGTAAGGTCAAGTGAAAGGTACGTATAATTCCAGGATCGGCCAGAGAATCAACAGGTATTTTGAAAAGCAAGAGGAAGTAGAGGCGGTGAAGTCTTCAAAATAATGATAGAACTTCAAAGTAATTGAACTTGGTATTTGCAAATAGGGTGAAATGGTGAGTTAGCAATAAAATGTATTCATAGGGAAGGCAGTTAACGGAGGAAGGGTAGGTTTGTACCACTTTCATGATATCAGAGATATATTTGGACCGATAGTATGACGATAGGGATATATTTGGACTGATAATATAACGGAGGGTAATACTAAACCCTTTTCAATAGTATAAGGACATATTTGACCCTTTTTTGTAGTCGTCAAAAACGAGTACTGCCTGAAGTAAATATTGTCCCTCTAGTTCTTGGGAAAAACAGAACCGAAGTCATCTAAAGTGTTAACTGAACCCTGGCCGTTCTATATCTCATATAAACACAAACCATTGAAATTTCAGGAGCCATTCTCTCGAGAATTCAACTAAAATTTCATGCAATCCAACTTATATCCATCGAGTAGAGCTCGTTCTTGTTTCTCATGGAATCCCCACATTCCCTCACCCAAAATAGCCATACCCAATAACCTCAAATCCTCCATAAACTTTCAAGAACAAAGGCTAAGTAAAAATATCCGTTCTTTTTCATGGATTCCAGACAAACCCCACATCCCCAACCCCAAAACAGACATACCCAATAACCCCAAAACCTCCATAACCCCACCAGGTGTTACAAAATCTCTGGAAAATTCATTAACTTTTGGAGAAGAAAAGTTGATTAATAAGCAAAAAACACCCACTGTCCCGTATTGTCTTCGTGTTTTGGTTCGAAAGTCAGACAATTTTTATAGGTATATCTGGGATGGGAATGACTTAAAACTGGTCCCTGTCGATGGGAATGCTTTTACTCTATCTGATTTCTGCTGTAATTTTGAAGATACAGTTCAAAAATTAGTCAGAATTTGTATTTTGGCTGTAAGGAATTTTTTCCTTCCAAGGAAAGTTAGTAGTAATTACCTTGAATACGTGAAGTGGAAGTTTGTTCATCGTGTTTCCAGTTCTGCTCTCCAAATTTTTGCCACCCAGGTTCATATTTTTTAATGTTTCAGCTATTAAAGTTGTAAATATTGCTATACAGTGAAAAGTCCAAATTCTTTTTTTGATTGTTCATATTTTAGCTATTAGACTTGTAAATTATTGTTATACAGTGAAAAGTTCATATGTTAGGTTTTGAGTGTTCATATTTCAGCTATTAGACTTGTAAGTCATTGGTACGCGTTTGTTTCCGTGATTGAACTTGTATATTGTTGGTATAACGCAAAAAGTTCGAATTTTGATAGTGAATATTCAGATTTCCTATTAAAGTTGTAAACTACTAGATACGTAAAGAAGGTATGTTTGATATTGAATTTTCATATTTTTAACTACTAAACTTTTGGTATATGAGTTCAAATTTGGTATTCGATCTTTCACATTTCAGATATTGAACTTGTAAATTGTTGTATACGGTGAAAAGTTTCAATTTTTGTATTGTATCTTTGTATTTTGCTATCAAACTTGTAATCTTATTTGTGTAGGTAATAAAGTTTGAATTCTGATGTTGAATCTTCATATTTCGACTATTAAACTTGTAAATTACTCGTATATGGTAAAAAGTTTAGATTTTGATATTGCATATTCTTATCTCAGCTATAAACTAGTAAAACTTGTTTATTGGTACATGGTAAAAAGTTCAAATCTTCCATCGGAGCTCAGTGATAAGGTCAAGTGACTCTGCTGGAATTAGTCATTATGATCTTTATAAGGGAAGTAGTCTTTTAATAGTTCACTGGTAGAATTGTACACTAGTTCACTTGATATATGTGTACCTGCAAAATCAATAGCTTTAAGTGAGTTAACATCTAAGGTGCGGATCACTCAAATAACTGCCTTGAAAATGGCTTGTCTAATCGGTTGTATTTTGTGAACAACGATATACAGGCTATGTTGCGGGCAATTGGAATAGGGAACTCCAGTTCATTTCCATCAGCTGCTGCACTAAATTGGGTCCTGAAGGATGGTCTTGGAAGGTTGAGCAGGTGCATCTACACTGCTAGCCTAGCATCTTCGTTTGATACCAATCTTAAGGTATAGCTTTTCTAACAGGGAATACTTTGTGCAACTCATCTTATAAAGCTTATTTTACTGTTCTTTATAATTAGAATTCATTTCTATCTTTCGGGAAATGATGCTTATATTTAAGCAAGATTACCTCAAGAGGCTATCTAAGTTTCATCTGGCATGTTTCTTACTTTGTTTTTTTGGTGTTGGCTGCAGAGAGTAAGGTTCTATACATCTGTTCTCTTCAGTTTGAGCATTGGAGTTGAATTGTTGACTCCTGTATTCCCACAATACTTTTTGATGCTTGCATCAATTGCCAACATCGCCAAGCAAATAAGCCTTGCGTGTTACCTAGCAACTGGTGTAAGTGTCAGCTTCAAAACATATGATGTTATATTTATATGCATGTGAAGTATAGCACTTTTATCTGATCAGTGATCTCAAATTCTCCAGTTTTAGCTCCTTGTTATGATACTTGGTAGATGTGAGCTAGTTATTTGAGTATAAGCAATACCATTTCACTTCTCTTGCCAGCCAGCAGTTTACCATGTTTTAGTTCCCCTTGTGGGTTCTGGTTATCAAAGAAAAAGTTCCCTTGTGGGTTCTAACAATTCAACTGCAACTTGACATATGAATTGATTTCTTCAAATTTTTGTTATGTAAAGTGGTAAGATTAAGATCTAAAGTGCATTTGACATATTTCAAAATAATAGGCTAATAAATCTATGCACTTAAGAGACTTTGAATTTCTACAGTAAAGTCCCAAGTCAACTCTTGCACTTTTAAGGCTGATGCTACTTAAGTTGAATTGCTCTCTGAAATTGAACTCGAGGTAAATGTAACTAGTTGAAGTTGAGTACTGTAGCCAATCGCTTCCGCAAATGACCAATTCACATTCATAGTTCATGGAGATCTGAGAGAAGCAATTTGTCTTCTGTTAAGCATTTTTAGCATATTTATAACATCTAGAAGAGAATTTATGCAATGAATTTCTCAACATGACATTATCCGCTATTAACTGCTTGTTTTTGCCAGTTAATGGGGGAACGAATATGTTGAATAAGTTTAGTTTCTTAAATAGCCAATTCACATGTTAATTTTTGTGATCTGAATAAGCACAATTATGTTCTTGATTTATCAGTACCATTGAGGTTTGAGCTGGACTTTTCCTGATCAAAATTTATTGTTTACATGTTAACAGACTGCCGTTCATAGAAGCTTTGCAATTGCCGATAATCTTGGTGAGGTTTCTGCAAAAGAACAGGTTATGTATATAATTCATCGCGCCATTGCTGGATCTGTAGTGTTATGATTAATATTCCTATTAATTTCGCTATTCCAATCTGACTGTTGGTTTATGTTTCAGATTCAAACAGTGTGCTTCGATAATCTTGGTCTTGCACTTGCTGCAGCCCTGAATATACTATTTGCTAATAATCCAAGGTTCTTTTTTCCAACTTGAAATTCTGAACTATCGCCATCAGCTTCTTTTTCTGTATATTTCAAATTATTTAGAGATTCTTTCCATTTGCCTTCATGAACCATTCCGTTTAGCCTATCTTGTTGTGCTTGAAGTGGAACAGTCTATACGCATTGCTCTTATCATTTCTTTTTTACACTATGATATGAGAAGTGAGTGTGTGGTTATATCCTAAGTTGCTCGGACACGGGTGTGGGTCTAGAGGTCGGATCCTTCGAGATGTAAATTCTAAGATTCAGGGATACGGATCCTAGTACGGATACGGGTGTGGAGATCCGGCTAAAAGTAATTCAATAAAATTAAAAATTAAAAATATCTCTAAATTATGAGAAATTTTGTGGAATACTTACTTATAAGTAAAGGATTGATTTCCTAGATAAGGTATGCTATTTTCTTTAAATTCACCCTATTTTTGGTTCTGATTTCGGGAATCAAATTGTATCTAGTCTCGAATTTTTCCGTTCGTCGTGGTCAAAGTACCCAAAATTGTTTGACCAAATCCAGTACGGATCCCGTACCCACATCCATACTAGTGTCGTGTCGACACGGGTGCGGCACCTAAACTGCCATGTCGGAGCAACTTAGATTATATCTTCTACTATTTCCTTCCTATATATAAGGTCCTATAATCAAAGAATCAGTTATCATATGTTTGTCTTTTTCTGTACTAATCCTTGTGATGTAGATTCCTGACTTCTCGATGATGTAAAAGTTTGCAAGCAGGTCTACCGTTTGTGGTGTACCCAATCTTCTCAGTGCTTGATCTTTTTGGTATATATCAAGGACTAAAGCATGTGCATCTGCAGACATTAACTAAGGTTGACCTTCATTCTCTATGCAGAAAGGATCAATTATCAAATTGAATTATACTGTCTTTCTTATAGGAAGTAGATTTGAGTGAGAATCAACAATTAAAAGTGACAAGACTTGTTATGTTCGCTCTAAGGAGAAGATATATGCGATATGTCATGGCCTGCTTAACAGTCTTTCTTGTGTGAATATTAATCATCCTACACATGTTGATTCTGATCACTCCTTTTACATTAATTCCAGGATAGACTTGAGATCATTATAAGCACATGGATTCAACAAGGATTTGTCCCATCACCTGCAGAGGTGAGTAAACAGGAGGGTATTGGCTTATCTTGGAGCAGAGGTAATTGCTCTTGCATGTTGCCGTAATAAGGCATTATTGCTTCACTTGGTGCTACTTCATTATTAGATAAAGCTTCTTAATCAGCTTTAATCAGGCAGGGAGCCATGGTCTATCAGAATCGGTTACGTAAATCCTACACCTTGCACAGCAGAGCTATCTAAGAATATGATGGAATCTTTGATTAATGAAGACTTTTATTTCTTGAGTCCAGAGAGATTGACTAGTGAATCGAAAAGGAATCAGGAGGTATGTATAGCGAAAGGCAAAAAAGAATAGTAATCAGGGGCAGCAATTGCTCTTCTGAATGTGTTTCTTAGGCAGTTCTTCTTGCTTTGCTATTACAGTATGGTGTCCTACTTTCGCTGCGGGAAGGGGTCGGCACTACAGATGTGATCAGGGGCATTTTGCATGTAAGACATTATTATATCCATTTCTTACTCTCATAGTAATTAATATATCAGGTAGTAATGTGGAAGGATGATTTTCCTTTTGCAAATGAACTAGGGAGTGATGGAAAACCATTACTTTTACTTTGAATAACATGTCTAGCAATAATTGTTTCTTATTTTTGAGATTTTTATAATGGTCATTCACCAATTTTGGTACTTTAATAATAAGAAGTAAATATGGTGATTGACAGGCAAGTTATGTCCGCAAGGATATAGAAGCTTGCGGTAGTTCCACTGCAGTTCTCGAGCAATGGTTTAACCTGGTTGAAGATGGTAAGAGATTAACAGAAGAAAATATGGGCCAGTTGTATGAGCAAATGTTGTCTTTGGGGTGGGCATGTAAGAATATTCTTTTCAGCACGCAGGAGCAACCTTGCTATGGATGGTAAGCAATGTTGTCTTCTTCGGGCTATGGTTTATTTGCAAAAGAGCAAAGCTATCTATGATTCCCTTGTGCTTGTATATAATCGAATTTTTTGGCATCCCTCAAGTGAAAAGAGTTGCCTTGTACAAGCCCTGCCCGCGCTGGTTTTCATTTTCCTCTCTGCAGGTAGGGAGAGATGAGTTTTTCTTTTTTTGTTGGAGGGGGGAAGCAAGTGTTGTACAAATTTTGAGTGGCTTTCTCCATGTTGTATATTAAGTGGTTAAGGTTAAACTTGTTATCCATAAATTTGTGTTTCCTCATTTATCCATTTTCTCTGAATGCGTGCTGAAGGGTTTAGCAATTGTTTGATAAGATGAAGATATTTTAGCCGTCTACACTACTACATCTATCTTTCTTTTTGGGAAATACAAATTTTGGTGTTTTGTTAATAATAAATGCCCTCTTCATGTGAGACTTCCCATTATCATTAATGATGAAAACCAAGCTTCCACTACCTCTTTGCTAAAGAAGTATTCTTAGTGCTTTTACGTTCAGCTCTTCACACACTCACACACACAATAAAAGAGACTTTTAATCCTGTATCAATCTTGTTTAATAGTAGTAGCTCTGGGTGAGAGAGCAGATAGTGTAGTATCTACTGTACTTTTTTCCCGAGAAGAGAGATCATTATTATGCTTGGCTGGTAATCTTAAACTGAAACAAGAATCAGGAACAACATTTTGAAAAGGGTGTGCCTTCTAATGGATTTATGAATTTGGACCCGCTCCATGAACCCAGATAACCAAGTATTAGAGTTCACAAAGGAATAGAAAGAAGAAACGATTAGGGGTGATTCTGAATCAAAAACCACTCTGAACAAAACTAGATTAACCAAACCTGTGCTCTACTAGAAGACGAAACCAGACAGTCCCAGTAAACCAAGAAAAACTGTCTATATATCCCAACTATCTTGCTTGGCTGGCATTCTCTATATTCGCAACTTGCAATTACTCATCATCTTTGCAAGTTGCAAGGGAATCATTCAAAAGCATGGTTTTGTGGCAACCAAAGAGCAAGAATCTTCTTTGTCTGAGCCCCAGAATGTGAACTTATCACATCACCATAGTGATTAGACTGAGAGTTTCAGCCCAGTAAGTAATTACGGAAAGAAATGTTGAGTTTCAGACTATGGACACAAGTGGCTGAAACAGGACGATGCTTTCTTCTCGCCCCCACACAATTTGCAACATGTTAAATTGTGTACCGTCTCACCTAGAACCTTGATACATTTTTTTTTCTGTTCTATGAAATAATGTCTTGACACGCTCTGTACGAGCGAGGCCAAGCATATTGAAATCTTTCATGGTGTAGCATAGCATAAGACTAGAAACAAGACCTATACTTGCTTTGATACTGTACATTGAATTAGAGGTGATGGCATAATTGAACACAAATATAATTTAAAACACTTTTCTCAGCTGTCTGGGCCTCTGGCTACTCGACTTATCACACTTGAGGACCACGCTTCAGAGGAATGTCATTTTAACTAGATCATTCTAGTACCACTCTACAGCTGAGAATATTTGAAAGTAAGATTTAATTATGGGTTGTCATATTTCAAACCTTAGAAAGCTTATATAACAGCTTTATATGCGAAGTGTAAGGATGCAATTACCATTGGTGGTTGATATCACTTGTAGTACAACCACGCATACAACAAGATCACGGGATCACTTCAACGCAAATGTAGTTTCTAACCTGACAACGCTGCTTAGACAAAACAACATTTTTTCTTGTTTAAGCAATTCATAATCTTGTTTAACTACTTAATGATTCAAAACTTGATTGGGATGGAAGTGTTGCAGTTTGACAGTTGAACAGTCCCATCCATAATTGGAAAAAAAAAAAAAGTTGCAATATACCATCAAAAATTGTTACATCGTTTGATTTCTTTCTTTATGGTGTACCCCATCAGATGTCCGGAAGGCGTTCTCCGTTTAACACCTTTAGCAGAGCATATTTCTCATTAAAGCAAGCGATACAACATTAGCATAAGCCTGAGCTTAGAATTTTCAGAATCATCGCCATCATTTGTTACGTAGCAAGCCAGATGCGGATAGAAGCCGTAATGCTTGATTGGAATTGTTCAAAACAGCTGATGACCTTGATACCTGCATCTTGCGTTTCTTTAAGAATTCCAGTGAATTCTCTAAGCACGGAGGAGGTGGTAGATCCTTCAAAATAACTGGTCCAGACCTGACCAAGCCACAAGAATACAACGAGTAACTAAAAGTGGGTTATGAAAATTATCTCAATTAAAGCAGAAGAGAAGTGCATGATCCTCACCCAGAGTTCTTGGATCTTTTCTTTTTAGAGGTGGACTTCTTCTCATGTTCTTCCTCTGAGTCTGAGGAGAAAACTTTCCTGCACAACAAGTGAGTACCCTTTTTCAAGAACTGAGAAGTATGTGAAGAATATAGAAGCTAAGGATGCACTAAGAAATGCAACTAACTTCTCACGAGCTGCAAGGATTTTCACAATCTCATCAGGTAGCATTCCTCCATTGTCCTTTGACTCTTGGGCATTCTCAGGTTCTTTTATGTCTTCAATGCTTTCATCATTTCGCGTAGGTCGTGGAGTTAACTTTTGAGCCCATTGTCTACGACGTTCCTTACCTTCTCGAACAACTCTACAACAGAGCAGTCATTTCATAACAAAAGATACAAAGACCATAAGTTGCTCATGTTTTGCAATTAAAGGCTATAATTCCATGGCAAGAATATCAAATTGAACACGTGGAATTTCCCACGAATATCCCCCATATGAAGAAAAATTACAAGCAAATTACTAGTTTTCAGGGCTTAAATAATGGGTCATCCCAAATGTTATAATATAACAGTCTCAAAGGACCATAAGCACAAGCGAGATGCCATTGACACTATAGATATGCAAGGAATGGCAAATAGAAGAACTTTCATATTTCCTTGAAACTAATACTGACTTTAAATCTTAAGTATTATTTTTTTGAGAACCTAGAAATCCCCAAGGCGAGTGGCTCACAGTTTGAAACTCGATGGATAACAGGCCCGCCCTTCTATCCATGTCCACTTAAACACCAATTACTTTGGTTTGTCTACGGCAGAGTTCAAACCTCAGACGGGCATGCTTTTGTCTACGACGTAGTCTGAACCTAGAACGTGCACCTAACTCACATGTCATGCGTTGTGCCCCTACTACTGGACCGAAGTCCGGGGGCCATAATACTACCTTACAATCTCCAAAACCATCAAAGCAAAACCAGTAGGGAAATACAACACATTTCTATACCCAAAAAAACAACTGAATATCAAGCCTGGAGCAACGCAGGGATATAATACTTGTTTACTTCTCAATTAACCAAAAACTTAAACTTTCTCCTTTTCTTCTTGTTACAACACTTTTCAACAGAAATGCAAGTTTCTCTAATTCAAGCCTTAAGAGGTAGTAAACAGCTTCCTCAACAACTTGGAAAGGATTCAACTTTCTCCTCACCAAAATTGGTCGATAATATAGCTAAATTCAGCTCTAGTGACTAATGGCCAATAAATTCAGCAGTCAAGAAGATTTTCTATCTGAAAATTGAAGTTATAACAGTTCGCCAACAATTCCACTAACCTTGGTAGGGAAAAATCAAATTAAGAAGAGAGCATACCTAGCCTTATTTTCTCGTTCAACTTTTCTAATCTCCTCATCTTTTTCAATTCCCTGCAATCAAAACCAATTAGCTCAACTACCACTACATCTGATATCGCAAAAAAAAAAAAAAAACAGTAATTTGATCAGAAAAAACACAATAAAACGAACCTGTAAGGTAGTGAGTTCTTCGGGAGCATCGGAATCGCTCTCTTCTCCTCGTCCCGACATATCCACTGAACAAGGTATCGCACTTCTGCAAAGGGTTTTAGGGTTTTAGCTCAGGAAGACGGAGCAAAAGTAAAGGTATTTTTCGGAGTGAGTGAGTATACCTGTGAAATTGTTTTTATCTTACCCCAATGTTAGCCCAAATAACTAAAACATCCCACTACTCTATGACCCCATGACGAGAAAATTACAAAAATGGTTGCTTGTGTTTTGAGATAGGTCTAAAATAGTCCTTGAAATTATATCTTGAGCAATTTTGATCGTTTAATTTTGTAAAAATAAACACTTTTGGTTTTCGTTAAATACTTGACAAACTCATTGTTAGATGTTGGGAACAGAAAAGAAAAAAAAAATTATGCTAAATACCAATTGAGCTTAAAACAATTACCCATCTCTACCCATTTGCAAACTAGTTACAATACACCTACCCACCCATCCCAACTTTTTCTTTACCAATTTGGCTTAGCTTAGCTTGATTTGGCTTGGCTTGGTTTGCTTTGGCTTGGCTTAGCTTGGTTTAGTAGGTTAGTTTGACTTTATTTGGTTGACTTTGACTAGGTATAAAAAAATGTGTAGGGGGAAACTTATGTGTCGGGTAATAAGTTTCTGCTGCCTGAGTATTTCCGAGAGAACCCCCCCCAAAAAAAAAAATACAAATTTAACTTTAAAATGATGTAAATGACTGATTAAGATACACTAATTGTGAAGAACTTATCTAAGCAGTTATTGTATGGGTCAAAATCCTGCTAAAGAAATTCGGCATAACCAGGTGACCAAGTGAAAGAACTGTGTCTCATCATGGGCGACTAGGCCGAGGACGACCTGGGCGGAGTCGCCGAGTAAGCTCCTAAGGCCGAGGACGAGCAGCAGGAAAAGGAATAACAGCTAGTATAGCTTTCAAATTTTCAGAGGGAATATTTTGTTGAAACAAAATATTCCCTCCGCTGTACCTTTTTTAGGGTTTTTGGGAATATCTCATATAAATAGTAGAAGAGATAAGGAAAAAGATATGTAATTTTGATTCTAATAAGCACTCTAATGAAAAGTTGACTCTAGAGAGAGATTCCAAAAGATTACCTTTCCATAAGGATTCGATTTGCTGTTCATTCCACCTTTTTTTTCCGCATCAGATCCGAGAAAACCTCATATATTTTAATATTCATCTGTCTTACATCATTGTCAAATAAGAGAATCATCACCTTATTCAATATTTGGGTGAACCAGTCTCTCTATTTACACTTACTGCCATTTAATATAGTTATTGCTCATCATTGTTCTTCCATTCATTCTAGACAGCATCATTTAATACCATGTGTATTAAATTGGCTCAAACGATTATTCTATACTATTTATACAAGCACGTGTTAGATCTAGAACTTATTATATTTAACTAGGATTTACCCATCACCTTTTTATTTAATTGGTTTAACAAAAGGTTTCATACTTTTTG